GCTGCGGCTGCCGCTGCTGCGGCGGCTGCTGCACCGCTGATTGTTGGCACCACTTGCGCAGTAGCTAGCTGTTGCTGCTGCTGCTGCTGCTGCAGAGGCAGCGGCTCTTCCATGTGTATCTCCGGCTCGGCTGGTGGAGGCGCGGAGGTAGGAAGTGCAGCGGCTACCCCCGAAGCAGCAGCAGCTGCAGCAGCAGCAGCAGCTGCTGCTGCTGCTGTTGAAGCTGCGCGTGAAGTTTGTTGCAGCGCAGGGCCTCCATACTGAAAAGAAAGGACTGCTGGGCTCGTCTGCATGCGAACAGGCCCTTGCTGCTGCTGCCGGTGTAGCTGCTGCTGCTGCTCGCGCTGCAGCTGGAAGGGATCGGCGATTGTGCGCATGTGACGCAGCTCTAAAGGAACATATGGCATGAAGATGGCCTGTGCGTGCTGCTGCTGTTGCTGTTGCTGCTGCTGCTGCTGCTGCATCTGGGGCAAGGTGTTGATATAAGCTGGGAGGGGCGCGACAGCGGGAGTCTGTGGTGGTACTGCTACTTCTCGCTGAATCGATGCCGCGTATACAGGAGGCGCCACCGTCCCCTGCTGCTGCTGCTGCTGCTGCTGCCGTTGTTGTTGTTGCTGCTGCTGCTGCAGTGTATTGAGCACGATGCCGCCTCCAGCAGAAGCTGCGACCCGCCGCAGTGCAGCAGCAAGATCAGCTTCCCCCTGAGCGAAAGTATGGATAAGAACGTGAGTTTGTACAGCAGGTTGCTGCTGCTGCTGCTGCTGCGTCGTCCCTACCTGCACCCAGGCTACTTGCTCTGCTGTAGCAGGCGCTGCTGCAGCAGAGCTGCTACTGAGGAGTTCAGAGGCGGTTTGGTGCAGCAGCTGCTGCGACGCCTCAACAGCAGCAGCTTGGCGCGACAGCGTGAGTGCAGCGCTGCAAGCAGCAGCAGCAGCAGCTGCCGCTGCTGCTGCTGGTGCTGCTGCAGCATCGCCAGTAGGCTGCGGCACCCCAGAGGCCGTGTCTCTCCTCAAGTTTCCCTCCAGCTGCATCTCTATGGGAAGGGGACCGCCTGAAATCGTGCTGCTGCTGCTGCAGCTGTTGTCGTTGCAGCAACAGCAGCAGCAGCGACAAGCTTGCTGCTGCTGTTGCTGCTGCAGGCGGTTCTAAGGCGCAGCTCCATGGGCCTTGAGAGGACGCGACAAATGCTTGGATACGGCTGCTGCAGTGTGAGCTGCTAGTTCGGATGATGTTGCTGCTGCTGCTGTTGCTGCTGTTGCTGCTGCTGCAGTGCCTCTGGGTTGTATATCTATGGAGAAAGCAGACGGTCACGGGGGCCCCCTAAATGGCCTCAGAGTCTGTTGCATTTGCCCCGTTGGTAGAAGCATCTTAGGGCGAAGTCTTGCGGCAGCAGCAGCAAAGGCAACAGCGGCAGCAGCAGCAAAGGCAGCAGCAGCTGGATCAGCCCAGGGGAGGGATAGCGCAGGGGCTCCGTTGACGAGTCAGTATAGAAAGGGAGCAGCAGCAGCTGCCTTTGCTGCAGCTGCTGCAGCTCTTGCTGTTTCCTGTTACGTTGGACGCGCTGGCTGCTAATGCCGGTATCTTCCGCTCCCGCAGACGATTCCAAGAATGAGAGGACACGATCCCACGTTTGGAGGAGACGATCCCAGGACTTTGGGGACACGATCCCACGGCTTTGTGGAGCCGATCCCACGGAGATGTGAGCCGATCCCACGACGTCTGCCCAGCGGAGCGTCCCCACTGGAGATCTTCTGCTATATTTTTAATGAAATAAACTTAATTCTAATAAATAACTCAACAGAGCCTCTAGGGCGTACACATTGTACTGTGTATAGCCCGGCCTTCCCGTGCAGATGCACCGCATATAAACAGCGAGGCGTGCAAAGCCCAGGTGTACAGACAACACCGATGCGCCGCTAGTGTGCAGCGGAGGCGTTGGTGTTGCTGCCTAAATCAGCTGTTGCTGCTGCTGCTGCTGTTTCTGCTGCTGCTGCTGCTGCTGCTCAGCTTGTGGTGTGGGGCTGCGGCGTGCAGGCCCTGGGGGCTCGCGGTCGCTCGTGTTCATCTCAGCTGTTGAGCGGTTCATTTGCCTGCGTTATAAAAAATAAATTTATATATTTAAAAATATAATAATAAACCTCTTGTCCAATTTAGGGAAAGGTTCTAACAGATACGCTCCCCTGTGTGGGGAGCCTGTACGAGTGCATCAATATCTTCACCCCTGTCTTTTGTAAGAACTACAGCCTCGAAGCCCTGCTGCATTTATACATGGGAAATGTTTTAATATCATTCTTTTTTTGCTTAATATCTCATTTTTTATTAGGTTATTACCCTATGAGTTGCTGCGCTGTGCAGTGTTTAGACTCAGCAACACGGCGTGCACGACGGCACTGTGCATAGTATTATATTATTATTATATTTCCTTCTATTTGCATGCAGACTGCCTCCTCAAGGGACAAGCGAGTGATTTTCGTCTATATTTCGTCTCGAGTAGCTAAGGGGGCTTCGTTGTACTTGCATGTGGGGTTGCCTTGCAGCGCCTGTTGCAGCCTTTAAGTAGCTGTGCCCTTGGGAGTCACTTACGGAGACTGGTTAAGATAAGTTGTTTGAAGGGAGCTCTATTCTGCATGAACAAGAGTGTATCTCTTCATTCCACAGCATAAGGCAGCCACTGCAGCACCCGATAGACTCTGAACATAAACTATAAATGCTAGAAAAGAAATAAAAGTCTCTTAAATACAGCCCAAGAGCTTTTGTGTAGTGAAGGCAGCACCACTACGCAGAAGCTGTTGTTGCTGAGCTTCTGCTCCATTTGTCCTTGCTGCAACTGGCTGCAAATAGAAAAGGCCTCGTCGCATACAGCGCCTCCTTCATCATCAAACTCCCACGAACTCAACAACATCAATACCGTCGCAGCAGCAGCAGCAATAGCGGGAGGGGTAGCAGCAGCTACAGGCATTGTTCTTGATGCTGATGAAGCAGCGGGCATATAAGCTGCTACAGACGCATTTATGCAACTCTATATATCTTTTGACAACTCTAATGTCTAGGGTTTAAGGTTTAGGGTTTAGGGTTCTTAGCTTTGATTCAGTTGCTGCAGCTGCATAAACTCTTTGCCTCAACAGCGTATTCGCTCTCCCAGATGCTTCTGAAGAATTGCTGCGCAGATGCTCCACCTGCTGCTGCGCTTGCTCCCTGATGTTGTTTGCTGAGCCCAGCTCAGTTTAAAATTTTAAGTCGATTGAAATATCCACATCAAAAGGCGGCACTCAACATAATCAAATGTAGCACAGCATCCTGAGTGACCAGTGGTCACTCCGCCTATATATGAAGAGCAAGGAGACGCTATAGGAACAACGTCACACGTTCCATCGCCCCCCTTTACCCTTTTCTCGCGGCCTTTTTATGCGGCATTAAATCCAAATGCAGAAGCGCAGCGCGGCGATCTCTTAGTAGAAAACCTGGGGCAGTGGCCCCTTCTTTTGCTTTTTTTTCTGAATAGTTCAAAGATCTACGTAACAGTACATATATAATATATATAATATATTTATTTCTCATATTAAACGAGTATGTACAAACATGCATTTACCTGCATACATATGTATATGAGCGGAGACTTTGGCGGATAAGCACATGCACAATTGCATATATATATATATATATATATATACATATATATATATATATATACATATTATTTAATATAATACAATACATTATGTATATAAGTATTTTCACATACATACTTGTGCGTGAGTGTTTATATGTGAAAGTACGTAGAGCACGCACAGGCCCGAGTTTCTAGCAAACCCTGCCCTCACTGGGGCAGCGATTGGAGCGTCCGTCGTTAGACGCCAGTGTAAATACATCTCTCTCGGCTATTGAGAAGTCGCTTTATATATCTCCCACAAAGCCACAACCCATGCAGCTACAGACAGAGACGACACCCCTTGCAAGCTACCTCTGCCTCTTGTAGAAAACCCCGTAGCGCTCCACGCAGCAGAGGCAATCTTAGCAGTAGCAGCAGATACACCTCAAGCGGGAGGTTGCAGTGCTATTTGGCGCTACGACCTCAAGGGAGAGGCGAAGCCCCGAAGCCACAAGCACCAGGAGACTGCCTCTTCTCTTCTGAATTGCTGCTGCTGCTGCTGCAGCTGCCTGTGGGCGCTGAGAAGTGTGAGGATTTCCAGCATCTCAAAAGGAAGCACTAACGTTACGGCTATTCTTTATGTGCACGCTAAACCTGGTTGCCCCAGAAGAAGAGAACTAAGAGTGCCCAAGAAGGGGAACAGCCCCCCCCTCTCCCGCTCCCCATTGTTCCCTGTGCAGAATCTCACCACGCGAGTGGCAAAAAGACAGAGGCACAAGGGCCTCAAGCTCGAAGAGCAGCTAAACCCCGCTGTATCTCTGTTTCCTACGGAGATATGCCCCTGCACATCGTACGCGGGGTCCACTCCTATGCATGCACAGAGACTCGGGACACCACAACGAACGGTGTTTGCAACTTTCTGACAATTATTGTGTCTATCTGCATGCATGCGCAGCTTGGAAGTGCTGCAAGGGGCTTCCCTAGCTTGCATATCGCTCCAGGCTTTGTGGAGAGTGCGCTGCTGCATTGACTCCCCCTGGCTCTTCAGCTATTATCTGCTACAGGGGGCCCCTTCTGTACCGGGAGCCAACTCGTGAGACAGCATACAAATGCCGTTGAAGAGAACACAGCGAAGCTAACAACGCCCACTTTGTGGGGCTGGAGGTTAGGTGACCCTCTTAGGCTCCGGCCGCTGCAGTGCAGCAACAGTGCGCAGGCGTCAAGGGATCGATACGAAACAAAGTTTAGAAGCAAAGATACAGCTAGCCTACACTCAGCTGGAGCACGAGAGACATCTCAAGGCGCAGCTGACAACAAGCCGCTCCTGGTCTTCTCGCAGCTGCTGCTGCATGCAGCGGATGCAGCTGCAGTAGAGTAGCAGCAAAGGCAGCAACAAAGGCAGCAGCGGTGACGACGGGAGCAAACTGCTTGAAGGCATACGACTCTGATTTTTTCCCTCAAAGGGACAAATAGACAGAAGAAAATTAGAGGCCACATATATAGAGAGAGGGAGAGGTCCTTGGCGGCGGCTCTCTGGCTGCTCGGGAGACGCTGGAGGCGCCCTCTCGGCCCCTGACATTTTAGTATTTATTCTAAATATACATTTTAGGTATTTCTATGGAGACTTAGCAGCACAATGATGCACTCTCTCACTCCTTGAGATACAGCAGACAGTCAGGGGGGCCCATGCTATTGGCAGCGGGAGGAGCAGCTCTTCCCCTCTCGAGGCCCTGCTCATCCCGTAAGCTGCATGCAGTCTCCTGCAGCAGCAGCAGCAACAACAACAGCAGCGGCGTTCGAAGTTCCTAGGCGTCGGGAGGGTCGCAGCAGCTGCAGCAGCAGCAACAGCAGCAAAACCAAACTTACAGACAATGGATCCTCATGAGGCGCTTCGGGCGTCCGTAGAGGGGCCCGGCGCAGAAGATAATTCTCGGTTGCCTTCAGGGGCTGCAGGGCATGCAATAACAACAGCAGCAGAAGGGGTAGCAGAAGCACCACCTGCTGCAACCGCAGCACCAGCAGGGGCCGAAGCAGCACGACTAGCAGCAGCACCAGCACTACCAACTGCAGCACCAGCACTACCAACTGCAGCATCAGCACTACCAACCGCAGCAGCAGCATCACTAGCAGAAACAGCGGCGTGCATGGGTGTTTCTCTTGAAATCAACACTGATAGCATCAAAAAGCATCAGCAGAGGTACAAGGAGGTGTGCCTTCAAAGCCCAAGCCGCTTTGAGCAGCAGCAGCAGCAGCAGCTGAAGCAGACAGAGCAGAAGCTTGCAGAATCTCCCCCTCCCGAAGCAGCCATAGCTGCCCCTGAAGCTGTTAGGAGTTGCTGTCGGGCGTCTCGATGCCAGCACCGACGTCGCTGCGGCAGTGCTCAGTGGGGTACTTCTCAGGGCCCTTCTGAGTCTGTTGGCTTTAACCGCTATAACCACCACCACCATCACCACCACCACCACCATCATCATCATCATCATCACAACAGCAGCAACAACAACAACAGCAGCAGCAGCAGCAGCAGCAGCGGCAGTGGCTGCCGCAGGCATCGCCGTCGTTGCGGATGCCACACAGGGGAGTACATCTTTATGTTGATTCCGCGAAAGCCTTTGAGTGCGGGGGCTTCCTTCCTCTTCTCGCTGCTGCAAGAAGCTTCTCCAACAGTCCGCTGTGCGGTAGACATGGGGGGCACCCTAGCAAAAGTTGTGTTCATAGAGGAATTGGGGCCACAGAGCGCAGCCGCAGCAGCAGCAGCAGCTGCTGCTGCTGCGGGCAGCAGCAGCAGCTTCTCCCGCAGAGACCCACAACTCACCGCGAGGGCATACGCTAGCAACTGCGATGCAGCGCTCGATCTGGCCTCCCCCCTCCTGACCATTCGCGGTTTGTCTTCTTGTGACATTTTACTCCCATCTGTCTCTTCTTGTCTTTTCCCTGTACCCTTTGCACTTCTTTTTCATGTCTCCTCTTATTTGCATTTGTTGCGTCTCCGCCTCCTGTGTCTCTCTTTGTTGGGCCCCCCACTATTATTTATCGTTGTTATGTCTCTGCCACTGCTGCTGTTTTGGGGCTGCTGTCTTCTCAACCAGTTTGTTTTGTAGTTCCTTGCTGTTGCCTCGGCGGCAGCAGCAGAAGTGCTGCTGTTTCGGCAGCAGCAGCAGAAGTGCTGCAGCAGGATTACGTAAGATGTTGCTTCGGTTTGTTTGTGTGGATGTGCAGCGTCTCCTCGGCGCGTGTTGCGGTTTACTTACTTCCGTACTAAGGCCATATCATCTCTTCTGGAGTGTCTCCAAAGTGCGGCCATCCCTCTTTGTTGTTGTCGTCCTCATCTCAATCGCTGCTGCTGCAGCATGCATGCCGAGCGCAGCAAGGACAAGCAACCCTCCCCAGCAGCAGCAGCAGCAGCAGCAGCAGCAGCGCTGCAGTGCTACTGCTGTTTGAAGCTCTGCTGCGGCAGTGCTTCTGCTAAGCGCGGATGTGCTGGTGAAGGGGCTTTTCTCCTTAGAATTGTGCATATGCTGCTGGTGGCTTGAGCATGCAGCGTTTGTTAGGGAGAAGCTTGCCCCCTTTTCTGTGTTTTTGTTTTGGCTGCAGCACGGAACTTAGTAAAAGGCGGAGTGCTGCGAATGACGGGGGGAGGGGCTATGAAGTATGCAGAGCTGTTCAAGAAGCAGCTCGGAGTGTCTCTACAGCGAACGGATGAAATTGATAGCATAATGGCGGGGCTTGTGCTGCTTGCCTCCCACACCAACTCTGTCTTTCGCTTTGACTTATCTTCAAGACAGAGGGTCCCGGTAGACGTGGTGCGTACTTGTGAAGTGCCTATTCATTTGCCTTTAGTTGTGTCTGCTTGCATTTCTTAATGTGCCTCCCCTTGCTCCTCATTTCTGTCTCTTGTGTATCTTATTGCCTCTGATCCTGTCTCTTTTCCTGTGTCTCCCTTTCTGTCTATTTGTTTACCTCGATGGCCTTCAGCTACGCCTGCCATTTCATAGGCAATCCTTCTGCAATCCTTCCAGGCCCGTGCATGCTCTAATGCATGGCAGTCTCTGCTGCTTTTTCTTTTTTTGTTGGTGCCAGCTGTTTGCTTCTTCATGTCCATAGAGCCTTTAATTAATCCAATGTTATTATATTTGTGTTATTAAACACACAGTATAGTAACTTTGATTTAATTAAAGGCTGTGTGAACATGCTTGCTGGCTTGCTTTGCGTCTGTCTCTCGTGGTGTGTCTGTCTCTTTGCCAGCACGCCGAGGCTTCGATTAGTCGTGTCTCCTCGGAGATGGTTTTCTGTAGCAGGTTTTTGTGCAGTCTCTGGCTCTTATGTCTGTCTTCTCTTGAAGCTGCTGCGTTGCTTTGCGTCAGTCCCGAGACCTTTATCCCTTTTTGGTCGTCAACATTGGCTCAGGCGTCTCCATCCTTAAGGTACATTCCTCTAATTCTAACTCCCAAAGACTGAGTCTTAGGCAAATGTTATGCTTGTTTAGGTGCGCGTAGAAGCACTCATATCGGCTTAGGGGCTCTTACGCTCTTTGGGTTATGCCCAAATCACCTGAGTCTTTTGTGTTGCTTGTTGGGGCTTCAGCTTCTGAAGCAGCCACATCTTGAGGTTGTGTGATGGTGTGCATTTGAGTTGTGCTGCCGCGGAGATGACTGGGGTTTCTGCCTGAGTAGTTGAAGCGCGTCCAACAAGTCTTTCTTAATTAAATAACTTTGAAGCAGAAAAATCACGTTTTAATATCTTATTTTCTGCTGCCTCTGCAGGCCAAGAGCGCCAGCAGCTTCGTGAGGGTGACAGGAACCTGCATCGGCGGAGGCACAGTACTCGGGTTGGCGCGGCTCCTATTTCATGCTAAAAGCTTCCGTCAAGTTGTTCGTCTATCCGAACGAGGCAAGTGGCTAGCTGCCAGCCGACTCGCTAGCTAAGTTAGCTGGAAAGGCGCACCGCCATGAGCGGGACTGTTGAGCGTTTCGTAGAAAAAACTGCTGGAGGATGATTGGTTGCCTGTTAAAACGTAGCATTGGGATTTCCATGTTGGGCGTTGTATGGATGTTCTTTTCTCATTTAAATACTCGTATATGTATGTATATATATATATATATATATATATATGCCATGGCTGCAGGCACGGACGCACTCGACTTGAAAGTGGCAGATCTCTGCGGGGATGCGGCTGGCAGTCGATGCATTGCCCCCGAAGCTTTGGCCTCCAGGTACACTTGAGGCTGCTGCTGCTGTTCTGCTTTATCGGTGCTGCAGCCATTGCGTTGAGCCCGGGATGCATGCGCTGAGCCGCAGCCTGTACATCTGCTTTTTATGCTAAGAGGGGCTCCGGTGATGCTGCCAGGATATTTTCTCTGTGCGACAACAGCAGGGAGGGTGCCGCAGTGTGATCGGCTACTGCACGTGTTACGGTTGCAGCATACTGGGACCTGTGCGTGCATTCGTGAGTTTGATTGGCTTGAAGAGACTGTGCAGACACGGTTGTCTCTGTTTTGCGTGCAGCTTCGGGCGGCTTTACTTGGATGCCAACAGCGACAGGCCCCGCCCCAGGTGAGAGGCATCCGGCACAACACCAGCAGAAATGCGAGGCTAAAACTCTCTGGTGGCCTGGGCAGCTTCTTTCCACCACGTTGGTTGTGGGCGGGGCAGCGCAGCAAAGTGCATGCAATCATAGTACATTCAGACATCATCATGTATGCATACATGTATATATATATATATATATGTATATCCACGTGTGCATGTGCGCAGGCGTATGTTTATGCATATGTATTCACATGCATATGTGGCAAAGTATATTGCTGTCATGGCGGCTTCATTACTTTTTCTTTTCCCTGCTGCGGTGCAGGAAAGAGGATATCGCTCGGAGTTTGATTCACATGGTGTCATACAACCTGGGCTACCTCGCTTACCTTGTCGGCACCGCCCACGGCGTACGCAGGTGAGGGACAGCCTGCACTGGACTTGAGGTTCTGCAGTGCTGCAGCATCGCTGTGGTTTCTATAGTTACAGTTACTTCTGCTGCATCCTATTTCTTGTCTTCCGGCCTCCAGAGTCGCTGAAGGGATGTGCTGCGCCGCTCATGCAGAATAGCTAGGCATTGAGCAGCTACTGCAGCTCAGCATGCTGCCGGGGTGTCCTTGTTGCTGTTGTTGCAGGATATTCTTCGCTGGTAAATTCATTAATAATTATGATTTCACGATGGAATCCATCACGCAGGGCGTAAACTTCTACATGCAGCAGTACGACCAGCATACACCTCAAACCTGCCTTCGAGGACCCGCATCACCGCTGCTTGCTGCTCCTCCCAATTTTAACGTGAGCGCGCAGCAGCGGATCCTGTTGCAGCAGCAGCTGCTGGCAAACGTTGAAACAGCAAAGCGGCATGGGCCTGCCGCCGTAGATTGCGAGCCGAAGGAAGAAGGCCGTGCCGGGGCAGCAGGAGCAGCAGAGGTTCGAGCAGCAGGAGATGCTGCTGCAGTTCCTGCTGCGTTGCCGCCACGAGGATTGTCTGAGAAAGCAACTACATCAGACCTGTGTAGGAGCTCGATGGCGGGCGCTTCTAGTCCTTTTGCCATGCCTTCACAGCCGCATGTAGAGGTGCCCAGCCACCCACAGCCAGGCCAGCTGCACGAGCAGCAGCAGCATCAGCAGTGGCAGCAGCAGCGTCGGCAGCAGCAGCAGCGTCGCCAGCAAGAAGCTATCTCTACAGGCAACCCGCTGCGCTCTCCCTCTTGCCCACCTTTGGGCACCACCAGCAGCAGTGTCTTCTCTCCGTCTTCGCCTGCGTCGGCGCAAGATGGTGTTGCTGCTGAGCCTGCGGCTTCATGGGCCCCATTTGAGGTGAGTATGGATGTGCTGCGGCGTAGGGCTGGCGCTTCTGCTTCGGTTGCACCTGCAGCGGCTGGACTTTGTGCTTTCCATCTTTCCCCGGGCAAGGTGTTCTTCTGTCATTGTTTCTGCAGGTGCTTTTTTTGCGTCACGATGGATATCTCGGGGCTGTTGGGGCTCTCGTAGCTCCCGGGCCGAACGCCGGCACTCCTCTCCCTTGAGGCAGCAGCAGCAGCAGCTAGTGGCAGCGGCAGCTAGTAGCAGCAGCAACTACTACTAGCGGCAGCAGATACTAGTAGGAGCAGCCAGTTGCAGCAGCAGTTAGTAGGAGCAGCAGGAAGGTTAGTTCTGCTGCAGCCTACTGTAAGAAGCCTCGCGGGCAGGTTTCGTTGGGGGTACGGGGGAGAGCACGTGCAGCGCTGAGAAGGCGTCGCAGCACGCAGCAGGGGCGCAGGTGTGGCAAAAGCAGCAGACTGAGTTTTTGCACCATAACTTTGGGACGTGTTTTGAAACCAATGAGCCGTTAGTCACATAAAAACCAATTCACCACGCGTGTAGCTTCTGTGGCCTCTCGCTTTCGCTTACTGCTTGCCATGAGGGTAGCAGCAGTAGTGCACCAATAAAGCGCCTTGTTGGTAGGCGGCAGGCAGAAGGGAGACCTTTACGCCCCCGAAGCAAACACATCAAAAAAGTCAGCTAAACAGATAAAGCGGAATTCCATCACGCGAGGCAGCATGGGGCTGATAATGAGAAAGCTGCCATGCCAGTGGTGAGCCCGTGATGGTGTCTTGCATTGGCGCTCTTCATCCCCTTGGAGGCTTTGGAGAGTTCCCGAGGGGCAGGTAAGGGCCTGGCAAACAAAGGCGCATGAGCTACGCTGAAATGCACATCTATCATGCAGGTGGAGATGCTGTGCAGAAGGCAGCAGGCGACTTTGGCCTAAGTCCGCGCAAAATGGGGCATTCAGAAGCGGCGAAGCAGCTCCTAGACCAAGGGAGGTGCTGAGGTGAAGTGTAACTGCTGTGCGTGTCAACGTCTTCTTGGTCATTCTTCACATCGTCACAGAAAAGCTGAAACGCATGTAGAGTTGCGCTGCAGCAGCAATTTCTCGGATGCTGCCGCTGTAGAAGAGCTACTGCTACAGCGCAACGGTTCCCTTTTTTGAATACAGGCAGCCTATCTTAAAGGACTGCATCGCCCTGGCTAGCGGCTTCCAGACCGTTTCATGGGCGCTCGTACGAGGTTCGCTGTCGGAAGGCATTGCAGTAGTCACTTCCGCCCGGTTATAATCCATCAGGCCAACTCCTGCGCCTCTGCGCCCCAACGTTGTGCTGTACAGCTAAAGAGCTTCGATCAGCAGCAAGCATGAAGCGAGCAGCTGGGCGGCATGAGAGGGGTGGACACCCCTCACGGGCGTCTGGCGGTGGTGCTCTTGCAGCAAACAAATGGCAACGCGGTATGCCATTGTTAAGTCGAGTGCTCCCCCTAACCATCGCCCCTTCAGATAAAAAATTCCCTCATGATCAGCAGTTCCTGCAACTCCTGAAACAGCGTGCTCCCCTGAAATCCGTCTGTGCCGTATCCCCAGCCGAAAGCACAGGCAGCATGGAATAGGCAGCAGCATGAAATAAAGGCGTATTTTTAGCAGATACAGGGTAGTCCGGCAATTACTGCAACTAATATACCTAGTAGGAGCCCAACTCTGCGGGTTCCCAAGAAGCACACCCTTATTCTAGGCCACCTGTGCTGTATGCTGGGGTTAATGAAAGCACGAGCTCCAGTTGAATTCCCTTAAGACTCTACAGTGCGTCGGACTCGCCAGTGCAGGTTCCCTGTCCACTTCAGCCAATTGGGCTTTTGCTGTCATCACCCCGCGGCAGCGACGCTGCCTTGGCTGCTGCTTGCTCGCCTGCAGATTTATCTCCTAAAGTGTTCACTGGATGCTCTTGTGAACCTCCTCCTGGGCCAGACGGAAGCACTTCTAAACGTCCCCGTTTGCTTTGAATCCCCCCGTCGCCCTCCGGCCTCTCTAGTGGCCGCCTGCGCACTGGCCCTCTAGCCGATGGAGGAATTGTCGAGGGGCTCGTCACTTGCGGAATTTGTAGTTGATGTTGGATTTGAGGAAGCGGGGTGAGCGGCACACTCATTCTGGCATTTTGTAAGGATATATTGTAGAAGTGAAGAACGGTCCCCAACATACTGGAGGCGGCGGGCGGCCTCTCCCCCCTCACAGGAACAGGCAGCCGCACTACGGTTGCAGCAGAGGGAGAGGGAGCGGCTGGTGCTATCACCCGCAAAAGGTGGGGGTTGGGCACTCCTCCCGCAGGGGAAAATGGCAGCCTGGGGGGCCCAGCATGCGGTCGAGCTATTGGGTGCTCATCCCTTTCTCTCTCTGGGTTCTCCAACTGTGCAGATGGTTCTTCAAGGACAACGAGCGAGTTCCTCACGGCAACATCCCAAAGGCGAGTGCCAAGGTCGCCCCACATGAAGGCCCCTGGATGAGGCACAGGAGGGACGGGGGAGGCGGAGCGAAACGAATAGGCCGAGGACGACGCGGGAGGAAATGGCGCACTTCGGTCCTGCATTTGCATACGCGGAGGGGCCAGAAATGGAGTTCCTATAGGGGCCAGCTGTGTCGGCATCATGTTCGATGATTGGGTAGTTGCTTGACTGGTTGCTTCTTCCATTTCCATGCACAGTCGGATGATTTCTTGATCATCTTCATCCAATTCCCAATGGTGTCCCTTGCCTGCCAGTCGTCTAGTAGAGTTCCCCCGCCGTCCATGTAAAGGAACCGTAAGGGAACAGCTAAGCAACAAGACAGCAACCGCCAACGCGGAGAGCAAAACGCACCTCGCCCCGTGCACAGATGCACGAAGAGGCCTGCGCAACCTCGCAAGGCGCAGATGAGGGATCCTCTGGGGAACCCAACTGTTTTGCCCCCATAAAGAAACAGACTTTGAAGAAGCATGAGTCCCCAAATGAGCGGGCAACTCGGCGATTCCTTCAGCAGGCTGATGCATTGGCCGTCTAGGCACGTTTCGACGCGCAACCCCGAAGGCGGCAGGTGTCTCTCCTTGAAATAAGGCCATGCACAAAGGAAAGAAATTGTGAAGCTCCAGAAATTCACTTTTCTGAAGATACTGTTAGGACGTTCTGTATTCTAAAAGAGACGCCGTCACCTTCCATTGGCAGCAGCACTGCTGACGCAGCTGGAGTACGCTGGGGCACCCAAGATAGTTGCTCAGCTTTGCCGTTCGAATAATATGCAATACACTGTAAACATAGCCGTGGCCCGCAAAATCAGTTAGTATGAGAAGACGAGATGTATCAGATTCGACAACATAGGCGGACTAAGTTGACGACCCCACGAGAGCCTGTTCGAATGCCGGCCGCCGCAACCAGCATGGCTATCCTTCCTCCCCTACGTCGTCGAAATATCCGATTAGTACTCGCAGTACCGTTAAACTCCCTATGCACTGACTAAAAAATGCGGGCCCCAGAGGCTTCCCTACACGCTTCAAAGCGGAACCATTATGGGGGAGGCGTTGCAGCATTCGTGGGGGGGCGGGAGACACCCCAACATCTTCACAAAAGTCGAGTCATTTCTGAATTGTGATGCCGCAGGTACAGTTCGATACCAATGAATATATTCTATTGATATGGACAACATTTTAGTAGCGAAATGCCGGAATGTTGCGTCAGCAAGCAAGTACCCACTCGTTGTAGCACTTAGCGGAGGAGGGTTCTCGATTGTGTTGTGTGCACGGCCTTGCTTGGCATTCTGCGGAGACTCGCCACTGAACGTGAGTCTCGCATAGCCCCCTTGTTCTGCATCCAGTAACGCTGAAAATAATTTTAAACACCCATTTGGCCCCCGCTAGCTAACTGGCAAACACGCAGAAATGAGTGGGACCACTCCGGATGAACCAGGTTACAGAGCTGCAGTGGTGCGCATCGATTTTCACACAGGTAGTATCGTAACACTACCGGATTGTTACGTTGGAGGCATATCAACCTGAATTTCAGCACTGGAAAACTAAAAGAATGAGGATATCGTTGCTGGTGTCCATGGGTGCTGCCGTTCGATCAGTATCCTGCTCCCACGCATTGAAAGTTAGGCAGCCTGAAATCTCAAAACAGCGATGGGACTACGATACAACATGAATACCCGTTGTTTACTTTGTCGGGGCTGTTTGGCTATCTATAGTCCATTCGCATCGCGGCTATAAGCAACTATAGCAGGCGGCTTCCTCGTGGGGCAGCTCGCCAAGCCCCAAAGACTACTGCTTCTTCTTCCTGAGGCCCGGGAGCAATGACATTATGCTTTCACTTCATTGAAAAGTACAGTCTTATATGGATCGCCTACGAACAGCGGTGGACTGAAACAACACGCTCCTGAATAAGAGACGATTTGACCATCCCGTCCGCGTTGGGGCGTCCGTCAACCAGGTTCAGAGTAGTGGCTGCTTCCAACCTCGTATTTTTTGCGAAATATATCTAATTTGTTGACATATTGTCGGAATGTGCGCGAACCAATAGAGGCAAGCAACCTGGCACTACAACGACAGCCACCCATGCCACGGCCGTCAACTACCCATTATGCCTCGGTTGAGTTGGCCGAGCTTCAGGACTCGAATGAACTCCCCTCTGAAGAACAGAATAATAGAGACGGGAATTTGAAACCTGTAACATGTAAGAGACCTGAACGGTCACAGTGGCGCACCGCATATCGTCAGGGGTTTGCCCTACTCTCTGTTATAGCAGTTCTAGTGATCTTGACAAAATGCGCTGGCTTCTCGTACTTGGAAAGGGGAAAGCAGAGTGTTGGGCGACAACTGGCAGGACGAGAGGACACATCAGATGAGGACCCCGATGTCGACGCCATGGTTGAGCTGTGCTTGGGACTGGCAAGTGACTACGGCGAGCCTGCAGGACCTCCTCTAACCCAACCGCAGACGCAGTGGATGGAGCAACAATTGTGGCAGGAAGTTTCGGCGAGCCAGCAGGACGCGCAAACAAGCACACAAGGCGATTCGTTTCCGACATGGAGTGGACCCGTGCCCTACTCATCTACGCCCTACCCTCAAGCCCTACAGGATCCTGGAATGCAGACGGGCCACACTCAAATGACTTCTTTGTCGACATGGGAAGGATCCTGGCTGTCTTCTAGTTGGAGCGACCCTCAGCCCCACCGAGGATTTGGTGCGCCTTGGGGCGATGGCTGGTCCAGTGGTTCCGGCAATGCGGGTGAGGCGTTTGAGTCTCCAGGCGAGGGGCCGTCCACATCGGCACCGCGCATTCTCTTCGGCCTGCATTCTACCGGAGCTCCGCACACGACTGTTGCTGAAGGATCTAGCGGCTCTGCCCCTCTTGTGGCTGATAGCGCAACTCCATCGCATCAAGTACCTCAGCCACCCAGTTCTGCAGATAGTGTCAGTTCTTCTTCGGCTTCTGGCGACGTCTCAGCTTCGTCGGTATTGAGCCATAGCCAGGGCACGAGTAGTTCTCCTTACTCAGAACTGCGCCATCTGGTCAGCAGAAACCCACCGAAGCCCCCTGTGTCTCCTGAGCCCCCGCCTGCAAAAACACGGCGTAGAACACGAAGTACTGGAGGTTTAGGGGTCCCTAAGAAGAAGTCAATGCCTTCATCCCAGCAAAGCCCAGCAAACCAGGAGACACGTAAAATTGTCTCGTCTTTTTGGTTGTCAACCTCGACATCCCAGGAAGCGCCTTCGGCAGAGTGCATCCGTGCAACGCACCAAGTATCGGGAGGGCCGCCTGGCTGTTATCTAGGCGAGGATAAACCTAGTGGTAGTCCGATCGACAGTTCGGCACCAGAAAGCAGCAACGCAACGGGCAGGCCTGGGCACCCCATCGGGGAACATCCATTTTATCGGACTCCAGTCTTGCAACCAGGTTTTGTTGCAAGGCCGTTTTCTTTGGCGGCTGCTCGTGCCAAGGATCCTCGTGTAAACATGATAGATTTCACCTTTCGGTTTATGCGGTCACTATTCGTGCAGGATTCGATTTCCCAAGTGGATATAGAAGGCTTGCTGCGCAAGATGGAAGATCTCGCCGGCCATCTGATCCACTTTCAGACGAAGGTTTTGTTAGGCTTGGCTCCACGAGATGCTGTTAAAGCGCTGGGGATCCGTTATCTGATATTGGATACCCTTTATGCAGCAAGCACGGCGTTGGGGGATCCCCGTCCTTGGTGGGAAGAACTCGTGGCCAACGTTCCACACGAGGTGGAGGACTACGATCCTTTCCGGCGTAAGGCAGATCAGTATCAGGTGAATATACGTCTCGTGAAAGCACTGAGCGACGCGGTAGCGTTGCTTAAGACGGGCACTCGTCCTGGCAAAAGGCAAACAATAGAGCTGAAGCGAGAACTGTTTTGCGGAGCGCTGTCACCTCGATATTTCAAAACACGCAATTGGGACCCTTGGAGAAATGATTACAGCCTATATGGCGACGGTGACGAGTAATGGCATTGCATAACGGGACACAAGCTAACGTACTTCACCAGCTTTGCTGAGCCATACTGGTTGTCCGGCTACGGCTGTGGCCTTGTGGAGATCAGTAAGTGAGACAGACTGTGAGAGCACGCAACGCATGATCGGCGCATTGGCGTAGGCCCTCTTTTTACAAAGCAAGACTTCGGGGCCAGCGCGTAACGAGTGAGAGCATTGAGGCAATGCTTATGTATCATCATTGTAAACCGATGGCGGGGCTATTGCAGAAGCTGATACAAACCTCTGTTATTCGCATGTCCTCATGCTTCCCTATTCTTTGTTATTTTATGCGGTTTCCATGCAGCACGCTTTCGAGGCTTGTTCACATTCACGCAATGTACCCGTCACGTACCGTACCGGGGGGTGTATCAAGGGTTATTGCTTTTAACCGAGGACAGTCGTGAGATGCAAAATAGTCAAAATATTCAAGAATAGAATCCCCAAGAAAACAGCCGGCCTTTAGTAAATCTCGAGGCGTCCTTTGAACTGCGGCACAAAGGCATGGAGCTAATGAGGCAAGGAGGCGGCACGCCATGAGTTGAAGGACAGCTTGCTGCAACTCCTGCTGCAAAGCAACCTTACTTGCGAGCATACCCAGCGTCCCGCTGCTGCATTCGCTTAACACTTTTAGTAACTGTTAATCTAAATCTTACATGCACGCAACAAGAAATGCACAACCAACCTCAGACAGGGTATGGTATGGTGGCAATACTAGTGCAATGAGACTTATTTCTCAATGAGATTTATTTCTACGAAGCAGCAGAACCTTCAGCTCTATGAATAAAACGCTGCAGAATTGTACAACCGCGTTGTTAGGGCTGAGGGTCCATGCACGTGCTCTGTTGTGTTTTCTCCTAGTTCTTCATCCCCCTATTTAGGAAGGGCGGCCGCGCCGGTACGCGCAGACCATTTCTACCCCGAAGACCATTTGTAAAGTTGCACTCCAAAATCCCTTGTGAGCCGCATGTCTTGGCTGATATTTAGTTCTTAAGAATGCTGAAGCCCTTGAGAGCTAGGGATCATCGAGAACAGGCAATCATCCCAGAGATCTCGAATACCCACGAATTACGGGAATGTCTGTAATGGTTGCACCAGCACAGCGCTCCGCTGCACACCACCGCAAGGTACACCAGAGTATCATCCATGACAGCGCAAGCCCACATAGTGCCGTAGCCCTAGATAATGGGGTTCTTCACTGTTGCATGCCACAGAGATGGAGGATGTTGGTTTGCCTTCCAATGTTCATTTTAAGCGGAAGATACCTTTGCACCGCCACAGGCAATACCCCCTGGGCACATTGAGCCACGAACAAAAACACGATTGATGTGGCTACTTGCAAGCAGCCTCACTGGAAGTTGGAATGTATGGGAAAATATGGTCAGGACGTCGACGGCGCGTCACCTAGGGTATGTACGCTACGTTTACGCGTTGGGTTCTACCGTAAAAGCCGAATTAGGGATGCGTCAATACTGCAGGGAATGCAATAGCTTACACCGACATCGAGGCCATACTATCGTTCTCATTACTTGCCCATCCGGTTTCTCGTCAAGACTAAAATACGAGAATAGCTGAGCCCTACATGCTTCTCGATAGCTTCAGAAACGACAACAGCTTCGCCTTCCAATATTTCGGTGCGGCAAGCCTCACAATTTCAATTGAATTTTTAGATTGTGGCAATTGCATGGTAGGCCGCCGGACGAGCCTACCGAATCTGGTGAACTGCGTCGCTATAAACATTACATTACAGGCAGCTAATAGTCTCCCTCAGGGGGAGTTGCCATGCACCTAAGAATCGATCAGGCCGAGTCGGCACGTTGAGGCTGTCTGTTCAACAGCCTGCTTCTGCATAAGCATATATTAGGCGAATGCGGAAAACAACACCACGTCAGCTATATAGACTTATTTCATCGCTTTCACACGGCCTACTTGCCTTCGATTTCAACACAAATGCCACAGCCAGCCCCGTCTAAATTTGACTTTACTTATCTTGCTGCCTGCCCCATCTGCAACCTCCGTGCAACCCCTACAACGTATGAAATGCGCGGTTCGCCCACACTGAAGTGCCTCTCCTGTGCCAAGCCTTCCTGAAGCGCAACAGGTTCTGCGTTGCGCTTGCAAGGATTATTGCTGCGTTCTCGACAGCAGACTTGCTGCTTGGCCCTCAGAGACCATTATACCAAAGCGTCAGTCTGCATATCCACTAAGCAGTGCAAAGCGTCTCTCTGCTGGTCGTTAAATAGTGGATAGGCTGGTCGTTAAATGGTGGATATTCGTCGCCAAGGCATCTAGACGCAGACGAGACATGTCCTTCAGGCAACGCTGCGATTCGGTCACCACCATATAGCGGTATGGCCCACCAAGATGTAGAACTGCCTTGGGAATGCAGTAGGGAATGCATGGCAGTGGCCTCCGCAGTTCCAGTCGAGATGCAAGGCAAGTTGTCCCTTCCTTCCATCCGTAGGCCAGTGGGAGGGGCATGAGGAAATTGGGGAGAGCCTACTTGGTGGTCTCCTTTGAAGAATGGAATGCCATGACGGATACGGCAGCAGTTACGCCCATAGCAGGCATGCAGCATCGTCTCCGTCTTCTGTGCCAAAATGCGCTTCTTTCCCATAGATGCAGATCCCTCTTTGTTGCAGGTTTTCAGCCTACCAACCATCGCGAGAAATTACCCCGACTTCTCAAGCCGCAGTAAATGCAGAACATGTTTCGCGTGGCGGCCAGAACTGTCAGCCCGCACAGCATTCTGTGCAGGCAGAGCAGATCTGGAGCGTTTCGCTCCAGATCTGCAGTCTTCAGACTCGGATAAACCCTGTCTGCCTTTAGAGCTTCCCAAGTGGGGTAGCAATGCATGCGATGCATGTTTTTCAGACGAACACGAGGACGTAGTATTGTTGTCCGCGGACTCCTTCATGGCCACGTTCCGCAAAGACACACCTTGGCCTTGGGGTACTTGTCCGCAATCCTGGAAAATAATGTAACTGAAGAAAGACGAGACCTCACACTGTGCTTTGGTCTCTCTGGAGGAATTCTGGTTGTGACAGCCTACCATGTACGCATATAGCTATTAGCAACGCATTTTCAACAACGCCGTATTGCAACCTACGCACGACCATGACTGTTGGAGCCGAGGTTCGGTGTCCCGGTTGGCCGTCAAAGGTCGTAATGATATCGCCTAGGGACCACCCACAGCGCAATACACATATTTGCAGCCTCGGCGACACGAACATTCTACATTACGAATCAATAGCCATCTTAGCAGGGGGGAACGGTCACCTAACAATTTGATGCCTGCCTCCTGCAGGAGGGTCGAAGCAAGTCTACTCACCAAAAGTAATATGACCTGAGCGGATCTCCAGTAAGATGCTGCAACCGGCAATACTTCGCTGGGATGCTGGGATGCTCAACGTTAAGCGCACTATATCAGAGTACAGAGCAATGCACAAGATAACGTCGTGGATGGATAACAATTCGGTGCATTAGCTCCGTCCTAATCTACCAAAACGTTCTGGTCTACCACGACGTTCTACTGCCTTTCGTCCGTGAGTCTGCAGAGCGGCACCCACGCAAATGGAAAGCCTTACGCGGTGAATAGTGGGGACCACGGCCAGTGACTGACGCACGGGGATCGACGCCGTTATGCTAAAGTAAAGCAAGATACAGCCATAATAGGACGGCATGCAGCTTTCCTTGCAGAGGCCAGGCTATCCTCTGACTGCTGTTATCCTGCAACACTAAACAACACTATATGCTTGGGGCTGGCATGCAACCGGTGGTTTCCGCACCTTGGGCAGCAGCTTCCTTGAGACGCCAAGTTCAAAATTTCAAGCTACAGTCTGGATATACTTTTGTCTAAGACATCGGGGGGCGTTTCCTAGGCGTTCAGCGTACCAGGGTCCATTTACCCAACAGGCACGCATCCAATCATGCAGTAGAAGCAGATTATTTAATACCTTACGTCAGGCGCTAGAGACGGCCTAAACGAATACGCTTGAAGGCTTTCTTACGCCAGTGTCCCCAAGCGGCACGGGGCTTCAGAAAATGCTAACCGCCAAACAAGGTGGGCATCACAAACAGGACTGGAATGTGGCGCTCGATGCCAAATTCAACTCACGGCGTCACCAACAAGTTGAAAGCTTCTCACTGCGTACGCATTAGGAACGTCTGGCAGAACATTGTGCATTTTGAACATGGCAGGAGTGTGGGTCACAGCATCAAAGTTAACACAGGGCACCCCTATATAAATTCCGCAGTTCTAGCTGCGAGCTTTTTCGCACCGTCTGGCGAGTAGTGTTTTTAGAATGGACGAACATTCACGATCGAAAATGGTGAAGGCACCTGCAGAAGTCCATGCGAAGAATTTGTGTCTCACCCATAAAGAGGTGCGCCCGTAGCGTTTTCTGTGCACCTGCGTTTGGACGCGGATTGCAAGAGACAGCCTACATGTTAGCTATCCAGCTATGACGCACTTCGGGCTGCTTGGAAGGCCATAGGGAGTCCTGGTTTGCCTACCACCCTCTCAGGAGACTTTTGGTTTCCTGCCGGTCCTAGGTACACTCCCTACTAAGAATAATTGTTTAATAAGTCGAACAAGACAGAGGAATTGGCAATCGAATTGTGACGAAAGCAAACGGGTGTATACACAACGCGATGTAAGTAAATTGCAAAGTCTATACTGATGTGCCACGCATATAATAAGCGCCAATGTGTGAAATGTGCGCAAAGCGGATCAAAGTCTCATGTGCGACGGAAGCTGCCTGACAAGCTCAACCCACCAAAATGTTCTTTCTTTCGGGTCTACTTCACGTATAATCTTGAAAGGGAATGGTCCAGGAAGCGAAACGGGGGAGTTACTATGATCCCAAAACTCTCCCATTCCTCAAGACTAGCCAGGTGTGTGATGAGTGTTTGCAGCCAGTTTGTAAGGCGCCTGACTGCCTATGTGAGTGCCAGCATCCAGTTCCCGTCTGAGC